CGCGGAAAGCAGGGAGGTGATGCGGCATCACCTCCCTTTTTTCAGCGCATTGTAACACCTTAGCTGTTCTGAAATCTCTGCTCTGCTCCAATGACAAATATGTCAGAATAAAAAAACATTGTTGGGGTGGGCTCAAGTAAGCTGCTGTTAAGATAAAAGTAATTTGGGTGAATCTTTTTACAGCATTATTATTAAAAAAACAGCTACTTAAGAAGTTGCTTCAAATGGACATAACCTGGTGTTTTGAACATGAATATTTTAATCAACCTTTTTTATGCGGTCGCAGGTGTTCCTCTATCTCAAATTTCACAGCCGCTCTGAGGCGACTCGGCCAATTAGAACCAGGCACCGTACCTGCCCGTTTATAATCCGTGAAGTGCGGCTTTACCTGGATCGCATTCGTGACGTTCCAGCCCGCCTCCCACGCGGTGATTTTTGGTTTTTCTTCAGTCAACTCGTTCGCCGGATCTCCGTCTTTTGAGCCCGAGCGCGGTGGACCGGTGCCGTCCCTCTGGTAGTGGCTGTCCCCGTCCAGTCCGCCTCCGTCTCCGCTCCCCTCGCCTCCAATCTCATCGGTTGTCAAAATGTCCATCTGCATGCCTTGCCGGTGGTCGTAGTCCAGGTCATCGCACGCAACGAAGCCCAGTCCCTCCTCGTCGGTGGCGGCCTGGAACCCCATCCTGGCGAACATCCCGCTCACCTTCGCCTGGGATTTGTTGGAGACAGTGGTGGCTGCATTTGACAGTTTATTCGAAAGCTTGCTTCTGATTAACGTCGCCATTTTCGCTCCTCTCCCGAATCGCAACTTTCTGCAGCTTAATTAGTGTGTTCTTCTCCTCCCGTCAGTAAAAATGTGAAGTTACTTTGGATGACAGCTCTTGATTCTCTGCATTAGATATAAAGCCACGAGGAAAAGCGCAAGTTTTGTTTTAAGACACCGACGGTTTTCAGTTGCTATCTCCACTTCTTGGTTAGTGTACGCCCGCTGCTCTTGATTATCCCCAGGTTCATGTCACCTTCAGACGTCGCTGCTCCGTTTCTGCATCTTGGCACTGCGCTCTGATGCTCGACGAGTAGTGCACCTTTTTGAGTCTCTGAGGCAGTTCGGCGGTGTGCGCAAAAGCTTTACGCACGAAGAAAGGCGAGCCACAGGTTTCTGCAGGGCCTATGATATCGTTTTCTTTTAGGTTATAAGGCGACAGGCAGCGTTTCCAGGAGATCGTTGTCGGTTTTCAGGTGCCTTTACTGATGCCAATGCGGTACCGTGGAGCCCGGGGGGAGGCAGGGAGGAGACACGTGTCCTCATCAGCCTGCCAATGCAAAGCACGTCTCCAGCCCTCCCAGTGCCCCACCAGGAGAAAGCGGGAGAGATTTGCTGCATTTCTAGGGGAGGTGCTTGCAGTACCCCCACCACCCCTTCCCTAACCCATAATCTATAATACCTCATCCTGACATCCAATGACATTCCTAGGGCCTCAAATCCCGCATAACTTTACGCATATAAAAGGAGGCTGGAATTTGACGAAATCCCAAACTCTTTGGACAAGATTGAAAAAACAAACATACAAATATAGGATTTTTTATTTCAAAAGAAATCTAATTATTTTTATTCATTATTCTTTTTCACGAGAAGAGGACGTGGAGCGTCAAAACCCACGTTGTTTCTTGGATTTCACGGATCGGGTTTAAAAACGGTGTTGCATTTGTTGATGAGGGAAAAATATATATATTTTCGTGCAGTTTGTTTTTGCTAAATGATGGTAAGATATAAAACCATAGACTGCACGTGTTTAAATATAGCATTTGAACGTTGTTACTATTTATTTTTGTTTAATTTAAGCAGTCATTCCATGGATTGTATTTTCAGGCTGAAGTATTCATTCAGGACGCTCACTCATTGATTCATTCATTCACTCATGTCTGTGATGATGTGATCTGAGCCATGCCGTTGCGGGGGAAAAGTGTGTGTGTGTGTGTGTGTGTGTGTGTGTGTATGCACTATATTTGTTAATTAAAAATCAGTTGAGAAATGTTGTGATACTATACATTTAAATTGCATTTAAGTGAATTCTTTGGAAGTCGAGGGTACATCAGCCTTTTTTGCCAATCTAACGAATCTCAATACAGAAAATTAAATTTTCACAGATTTAAACAATGGTGCCTAATTGAGGAATAGTCTCAAAGATTCAAGTAACACGTGTTCTAATCGTTCTGATTTTGCGGTCTCATTGTAATTGTCTTGCGGACAAGTATTATTAAAACAATTGAATTGTTTCCCAATAGTGTAGCCTAAGTGATTTAAAAGCCAGGTCCCAAAAGTGAGAACAGTTTGTTGACACAGCCCTGTCACTAGTACTTTGTATCCACCATGTTCAGTGTTTCCTCAGGCTGCAGTATCAGAGTTCATCACCATGATACAAAGCAGCGGCCTTGCTCTGCGCAGTACGATAGCCCGAGCTAACATGGAGCAAGTAGACTGTAACCCGGTCTGTTGCTATGTACATTCAGGTTTTGCTTTGCACACGAGAAAGAAACAATGATATGACCCATTAAAAGCTCTGAATCTGGTTACCTTCAATAGGCTGTAACCTGATAAGAGCGCTGAATGCAGCGGAATAATAGAAGAGTAAACTGACATGTCCAATTGGTGATCATCATGCGACAAACATGAACAAAAGTCTCCTATTATATTTGCCCTGGGTATAAAAAAAAATCAGTATGAGAGGCGTAGTGGGAATGTATGCAGAGATTTAGAGGATACAAAGCCACATAAGCCTCTCTGGACTGTTCATGTAAAATATTATTTTATTTTAATTATTATAAAAATCCAAAAAAGATTTGGTCAGTGCAAGCACAGAAAATGGGGCGATAAAAGGATAATTGATTGCTTTATTGTTCGTTTTCCTTTTAAACAATTAAAGGACCGTAAGCTAAATCCAGTATGAAACTATAGGCTGCATCACGATGATTTCACTCGCAGCTTCAGGGAGTGCAGGCCGAGCTGTATCAGGCCTGTGCATCTCTATTACGCCTGATTTAAGTGACGCAGGGTATGCATCATAAAAACACACATAAATCGCTCACACTTGTCTCGCTCCTGCTGCGTATAGTCTGTTCGTGTTTTGGTTGTTGTTGTAATTTTCAGTTGTGGGAACGAAAATGGCTGCTTTCCTTTCAGCCCCGAATGAAAGAGTTAATGACAGAGGCTGTTATCAGTGGGCTGCAGCCCTCCTCTGATCTGCGCTGTCTGATGGAGTGTCCCGCAAGATGAAAAGAGCAGCCCTGACACCAGCAGCCAGCAGGTTACAGCGACCGCAGACCCTTCCACAACCTGCTGTACAGATAATAGCACTAATGCTAATTACAATAATAATAAATGTATTTAGATTCAGTTTACAATGGGTTTCAGGCTCATTGTGACATGAGGAATCCCACACGTGGGCGCGCACACTCGCGCGAGGACAACGTGTTTCTTTAAGTGCTCATTTGAGGCCTCTGTCACACCGTGTCAAATGCAACTTTCGCCCAATATCATTATGGGGACAGTGTCTCGCGGACTTGACAGGTTGGGAGGTTTTAGACCTTCGTCACACACAGATGTGACAATAAATCTGTACTTTCAGCTTCAGGTCTAAAGGATCTCGCACGTTTGATCGCCGACTCTTCATCTAAGCAGCTATGGTGTCTGTGATCTCTGAGCTGCACGGTTACCCGTCAGCAAAGAGGAGGGAAAGTGATTTTCTCAGTTTATCACCCATCCCGAGAGTCATCAAAGGGTCAGGGTGCCACGTCCCAGGAGGGTCCTCGTCTCCGTCGCTACGGATATGAGTAATCAAAGCTCTTTATCTGTGCTGTCCGAGTTTGCTCTGCTTTGTGTTTGACCCGCATGTTCGATGTCCACCGGTGATGCTTCTTCTTTTTTCTTTTTTTTCTTCGTCTTCTTCTTCATTCTTGGTGATAGACAGTCAAATCCAAAATGTCATTGTGATCTCACTGTGTCCTCCAATGTACCCACCCCCCACGCGCATTTTCCCTCCTCCTCTCCCTCCTCAGTATTTCACCCCCGGCTCTCCTTTTTCACATTACACACATGGGTGAGCTGGCACAAGGTTCTCCTCCTTCATGTAACCCCTCCCTCCAGCCCCCTTTCGCAGCCAACACCAACCCAACCCCCCACCTTTTCCTCAAAACACACAAATAAAAGCCTAATTTTCGCTATGGGGGAGAATTTCTCCTGGACAGAGCTTTGTATAAAGACTGCCACCTGGCTTTAGGGATTATCATACAGTGAACCAAGTCCAATGAAAAATAATAAACATACAACTATTTAAGAAAATACCTGAGCCATACTATTGACCTTTTGATATTTTTTAAGCGGCAACGCATATTATATTTAGGATATGTCACTGCAAGAAGCAGGTAAACTGACTGCCTTTTATGTTTCCATGGCGTTGAATGCAATTACGAAGGGCTATCATTACCTCATCCATTAAATGTTTTCAGTGAGACAAGGTAATGACGACAATGAGAGAGAGGGTGTGCGTGTGCGCATGTGTGTTTGACATGAATCGTTTGAAGTACGACCCAGATTGCGCCAAGATAAGAGAGTATGTGAGGGAGAGGAAGAGGTGCGAATGCTGCCATGTTACAAAAGGATTTTTGTAAAAAAGAAAAGAAAAGATAAACATTTCTGGAAACCGAAGAGTGCACCCAGTGCGACGTCACCTGTCATTTAACCCATGATTGCCTGGCTGATGCGTCTGTCTGCCAGACCAGCGAGGCAGAAAAATACCACCCAACACTCTACAATTAATAGGGGACAGAGAAAAGGCACTCTGGCTCTCTGGGGACCGTAGAGGAGGGAAATTAGCCCACATCAGGCTAATCAGAGGACCTCAGAGTCCATTAACATTTGCATCACAATCACAGGTCCGCTGTCTGTGTTATCGACTAGATTATGTGTTACCAGGCGCTGAACAGTTTTGTGCCAATCGCTTTAAAAGCATGAAAGAGAGTGAAACATGTCAGAGCCTGCTCATGATGGGGTCCAGATTTCAGCACCACGGACAGTGTTTGTTTCTATCCAGCAGCTTTAAAAGGGGAAATCCACCCTAAACAACATTTGTGTTACGTTTTGAGGTTCATTCTTGACGTTGGAAACAGCAGTTTGGTCTCAACACAAATAAGCTTTCAGACTTGAGTTTTTAAAGCCATTAGATGACACAGAGAGGATAGTATAGCTTCGAAATGATGTGATATTGTACACGAGTTACTAAACTCAAGTGAGTTTAATGTATGTAGGGATTTTAGTTGTGATTCTGAAAAGTACATCCCACTAACCTCGTCGCGTTTTCATTGTGTCCGATAAGGATGTTTTTTTTACTGTCCGTGTTCATATGATGCTGCATTGTACCTCAGTTTGTTTCTCTGCTGCTCATCTTAAGGAGAAACTGCTTCAAAATGGCACGTTAAAACTGAACTGCAATGTCATAAAACACATTAAATTCAACTCCAGGGGGCATTCCCCTTTAAATCCTGAACTGTGCCAACACCCAGGCCACGTTTGCAGATAATAAAAAAAACATGTAGGCTATATAACCTTTATTTAATCAGGTATCTTACTGAGGTCCAGATCTCTTTTGCCAGAGATATCTGACACACAAATAAGACAAACAACAAAACATCAGCCAGTCACACACAGAAACACACACACACACACACACACACACACACACACACACACACACACAGAGAAATAGA